GCTTCCACTGCTTCCACTGCTTCTGCTGCTGCTTCTGCTGCTGCCCCCAGTTACTGCAGGCTGAGCTCGGTCCATTTGAGTAGTCACTCATTCGCTCGCCGCCCGCTCGCTGGTTCAGCTGCGCGTCCACGCCGTCTGTCCTTATATAAATAAACCTATATATCCCAGTTTGGATAATTTTCTCGCTGTGCCTACAAGTGTTAAATAATATATATACATATATACATATATCTGTGTGCATTAAAAATAAGTAAAGAATTCTAGCAAGCAAATTGCCCAAGTGCCATAAACGCAATCCCATAATACCCGTTAACGGGCTCATTTGGAAAACCTTTCCGGCACACAACACAAAAATCGTTCGGCCGCAACACATTTGAGTGTATTTATTTGAAAACCATTTAGTTGAAGAAAAATGTGCTAGCAGTTAAGGCGCCCATTCAGTTAGCTTCTCTCGCCAAACGGAGCTTTCCAATTGGGATTTATCGACGGTGGCCAAACTGCAACAATACCAGCGGCAAAACGGATAGCTGCCAGAGGTGAGATGACTCATTGCCCTTCGAAGGAACCCTTCTGACACCATTGAACATTAATAACAATAAGACGCGAGGAGGACTGTGAACAAGTGAAATCCAATGCGAATTGTTGTAGGCGACATTTGAAATAGAAAACACATACGTGTATGCAGGGCAAACAAAGAACTTGGAATCGTCGTCGTCGTCAAAGTCGTCATCGCCATCGAGGGCATGTCACCCAGTCGTCTGCAATATGACGCCCACAACGGCGACGATGCCGTCGGCGGAGGTTACTTCGAGCTCCGTTCTCCCGGGATTCGGGGACCAAGAATCAGTAATAATTGTTTAGCCACAATAACAATAAAACGAAATAATATAGTGCCGAAAAAATGGGAAACCCATAAACCGAAACGCCCCACTGCCAAATGCAAATTTGCAGGGCCCAAAACGAAAACAACTGAAAGACTCAAGACTCGGGACTCTCTATAATTATGAAAAGGGAAAAGCAGCAAATCGAATTGCACTTAAAAATGTCCCCTCTCAGACTCCAAGTCCATCCCGGATTCCAATCCCAGACGCTGTGGTCATCAGCCCCACGTTTTCCACAGAATCCCCGCAGTACCCATAAAACCAAAGCGTTTGCTTTTGTTTTCTTAATGGTCGTCTCCAGGAATCGGGGGCATTATAGAGCTTTCATTAAGCTGATTGGTATCCTAAGTAAAACTATATATGAGTTTTTTCAAAAGCCCTTTTTTTAGTTATTTAGGTGTATTGAACACTCAGTAGGGGAAGTACGCAGGTTTCTTGGTATAACCAGGAATGTAACTTCTTTTTAAGTCGAGATATTCCTTAATGAGAATATTCCACAGTTCAAAATTTCTGATTAGTGTGTATCATAGTTTATTAGGTAGTTTTTTCCGTCACTATATACTCCTTTTATGATCTGTAGGCGTACTTTTCTGCATAAATATATCCTTGTTACTATTATCTAAAAGTTGGATTATATTTTTATAAAGATTGTTGTATAAAACTCGAAACATTTAGGTTCGATAGGGCTTTATAAGTCTCTAGGTGCTAGAAGAATACCTTTCTTTTCGAACATAGCCTGATTTCACTATGGAAGGGTTTCCTTGTGGAGAAAACGTGGAAAAGGAAAGTCGGGCATACAAACTTCCTTTCAAAACATGTCTAGCCAAAGGACAGCTCTGTCAATCGAAATGGCAAAAGCAAACCCAGGGGTCCACAAAAGTATCCACATATCCACTGACCAGACTTCAGACGCGTCTTCAAAATGACCAACGAGAGTTGTATGCGTTTCAAGTTTAATGTAGAATATGCAAATTGCGCATGGCTAATTTGCATTTATGACAAAAATAATAACTAATAATCTGGCCCAGAGGCCGAGGGGGGAAGCCGAGGCGCAGTTGTACATATGGAGATGGAAATGGAGATGGAAGTGGATACGGATACGGGCACCTGGCGACAATGGCACACGAGAGATATGCGAGAAATTTACTATAATACTTCCAGGAAGGCAAAAAATATGTAGAGAGTGCCGACCGCAGGGCGCAAAGCACGGCGAGCAAACAAAACAGCATTCGGCTCGGACATTGGGCATTGGTTGTAGTCGCTGGCCAACAGAAATGACCATGACGGGTCGCCAGCTCCAGCTCCTCGACTCCTCAGGTCCACTCCACTCCACTCCGCTCCACTCCTCCACTAAACTCCACTGAAAAAGGTGTCGCGCGCCAAGCAAATTAGCGGGTGTGTCCAATTCGACAACGAGCCTTGGGACTCAGGAGGATGTTGGTCCTCCTAAGACTCACATGCTTACTTAAGCACCTGGCAAAATACACATGGAAAATTATGTCAAAAAGAAACTTTCAGTAATAATATAGTCTACCAAATGCTACTAAGACAATTTTACAAAGTATAATAATAATTATCTTGGGAGCAAGATGATGATGGCAATATTAGGTAGGAAGTTCAATTACCGCTTTCCTGCTGCTTAAGTCAGTCTATCAAGTTCTAAAGCATTTTTAACAAATTTAAATACAATTAATAAGTATAGATGGACAATTTCCCAATCTCAGTACTATTTCAATCAATGAAGACTTCAATTAGCTTCATGTTCTGTTAACTTTTATGTGTATAAACGATATTGGAAACCACACAAAGCGTCTGTTTAGGGACTCAAATTTCATCCTTGCTACGAAGTGGCAACTATTTTCGCTGAGTGTACACCTAGGCCATGCATATGCGCTGGTGTCTTCAATGCCATGTCCCCTTGTCACGTGAAATCAAATCATGCATCACAATTTCACGCTCAATCGCCAATGTAATTGAGCCGCACAGCCGTCCCCGTTCCGATTCCTTTAAGTGTTTAACAATCCCAGGTTGTCGTCCAACTGCCGCCACTATGTCTGCCACAAATCCAATTGGTTGCCCCAGCTCTGCCATGAATCCGGGATCGGTGCGGAGTTTTCCGGTCGCCCAGCTTCCGTAAAAACAAAATCGAAGGGGTGGCGGCCAAGCGTGAATTGCAGCTGGAGCAACAGTTAAGCAATTTTCACACCCAAAATTGATGCATATTTATATTTATACAGGGCTCTGGTGAAATATTTTTCTAATTTGTACAACTATTGGTTAATGGCATAATTTATGCGAGGACACGAACCCTTTGCACTGTGGCACATACTTTTGTCCGCGTTTTCGGCATAGTCCTGGCCACATGTCCTGTGTCCATTGTTTGGATCACGTTCCCGCGCCGATATCGAATCGGTTCGATCTCGGAGGCAACTTTGTTTCCAAGTGAACAGCGTCGTGGAATAGCTGAGATCCTGGATCCATTGTGCTCATCTTAGTCCTTGCCATCCCGCTATCGGATAACAGAGCCCGCATTTTGTCCTCATGTATCCGAATCCTTGGCGCTTCAAACTTGTAAGTTTGTTCTCTTCCCGCTAGAAAGGGTTCGGGACTCTTATTTTTGTGCCGAAAATATGGGAATCTCTGTGTCCAATGTGCACAGGCATGTGTGCATACGAGTATTATGCCATCATCGAACGTCTTGAGATATGCATCTAGATCTGTGGGCATGTTGGCATGGACAAGTTGAGGGTTGATCGGCGGAAGCCCCTAGGCTTAGAGCATAGAAATACTGCGTCTCACAGTGTTTGCCTTGATTATCATGCTGGGATGCATTTTTCTCTTCATATTAATATGTCGAATTCAATGAATTATATGCGGCGCTAACTAGTGATTCACTATTTTCAATTATCTGCGGTGAGAGGGACTACAAATGAAAAGAATATTTAAAATTTTTGCACGTTGAGCCGAGATAGTGGAAGACGTTGCAGTTAAAGCAGCAGCACCGCAGCAGCAGCACCGCAGCAACAACAGCGCAGCAACAACACTGATGCAGCTGAGGGCGAAAATTGTGCTGCGCGTGCAAGAAATTGTAAACGTCATTTGCGATTAGCTCATCGACGCCAGCCAAACAAATAAAAAACTAAGTCCGAAAAGAGTCGAAATATTGTAAGACATGAAGCCAGTGGCAGCTGACAAAAAAACATTATCGGCAGCGACAACAAATCGGAAACACGTGCCATGTAGCCGGCTGACAAGTGGCCAAAAGATACTCATACTATTCGTGATCGATCAATGAATGAATCGCGTAAAGTCCAAAATGCGATACGATGACAGCAAATTATGACAAACTTGCCTTTAATATCGGATCTGATTGGACTTAATCGTATATCTAAATAATATTATATTGCGCTTTTATAAAAAGTATTTGTTTGGACATTTTTTGATTGTTTTTACAATAACAAATCTCTGAACGAGGCACTAGGATTATAACTTTTAGGATTGTTTAGAACATTCTTTACAATTTTATAACTTACTTATTAAATTTATTTCGGAGCATTTTATCTTATAAATGTAGAGCTATATGTTGTTAAAGAAGATTTAATATATTAATAACAAATAGTAAATAGTAAATTCGAGTGACTGAATCTGGCTCGCAGTGGGTTAATGTCGTGCTGATCAGACCCTGCTTATGCACAGTAATATCTGATTCAGGGGTCAAATGTGGGCTTGGATAACATTTATCATAACTGGCGTCGCCCTCCGATTCAACTGAGCTCAGCAAAAGTCGCGAAGAAAGTAAAGTCACAGCGATTCGGGTGAAATGCAACACTTTTTGCTAACGCCGCACAAGTCATGGTCGCTTGTTGGCTATTGTTTGTTTATTTTCACCCAGCATGTGACATTGTCCCCGGCGAAGGCGACATTGGAACCTCCGATCCGCTCCGCTCTGCTCCGCTCCAGAGCTCCGGCTCAAGCTCTCCGATCGAAAGCCATCTACGGCGGAGCGGCTAGAACCCAGAACCCACAACCCAGTAAGCCCGCTGCAAAAAGCTGAGCGGAGCGGTCGCTGGGCAGCGGCGTCACCGTCGACGGTTGGAGCGTTTTAGTTGCGGTCAGCTTAGTGTTGGATCAAGTCGCACTGCACCCAGTGACCAAGTCGTCGTCGTCGTTGTTGTGTCGTCTTGTTTTTTTTTGACCGCCCATTGTCGCGCGCGACGGTTTATGTGGCATAATTTACGATTTCGCGGACCCTTGCAACTTCATCTTGGCCAGCGAATCCCTCAAGCGATGCAGCCTGCACTCCCGGCAGACCGCTTATGAGATGGATCCAAAAAGTAATCATTATCCAAAGGAATTAAACCGTGCTGCACTCGAAGAAATTTTACTCGACCTATTTTTTATATATCTTGCCAAAGGACTAAGTAGTGCCTAAAAATATTATTATTGTGTGCTTATTAAATAAATAACTAAATTAGTTTCTCAGTAATTAAATATTTACATAAGAAGTGTTAGTTTGATGTTCAAATTAAAACGAAATAGTAGTTAGCTAAAGGATATTTTACAACTTAAACCTTTTCCCATCATTTTCACAATTTTGATTTAAAAGAAACATAGAAACTAACTAAACAAAAACTTCCTAAGAACAAAACTTTAAGACTTTTAAAAAATTCCATTTTACCTAATTTGTTGGTTCAACATTTGAAAAGTATTTTTTATTGTGCGCTGCAGCTGCACTGTGTTTGTTTTTACTGCGTCTCGGAATTCTTGTTTTTTGACTTTGTTGTTTTTCCATTTTTTGTTTTTTTTTTGTTTGCATACGGTAGCCACCGAAAATGATTTGTTTTGTCTGCCCAGGCGACAGGAGTGATGAGGGGGCAGCGGAGGTTGTTGCGACGTTGTTGTTGGGGCAACTGCCTCGTTTTGTGGCAACGTTCATTTGGAATCGCAACTGCAACATATTAAATTTCAGCGAGGCTACAGGCAACTAGAGATCTTTTTGAAATTTTTGAAACAGATAATTGGAAATGCATTTCTTAAATTTAAAAGAGCACCCTTCAACAAAAAAAAAAACAGAAAACTTTGTTAAAATAAATGAAATCTTTTTTGGCTACAATGAAATCACTGCGTGATTTAAGACTTCAAATTATGTTGCCATTACAATTTTATATGTTTGTCACATTTAATTAGTTTCGTTAAGTACATATTTATGGATCCCGATTTAGATAAAAGAATTAATTTCCTTTTACGTTTTTATGGCAGCATAAAAATGTTGAGCATTTCAAAGGGTAAATTCAAATGTTTACGAGTTGTTTAGGAAAGAAGCGAACAAAAATGGCGTCCATGTAAAGGGCATCTCTCTCTCTCCTTCTCTGTCTCTCTTACCCACACACAGAGAAGCTAACGCCAATAGAACCGGAAGTGACAATACTGACATTGAATTTTGACAAGCGGAAGTGCCCAATATGCGCATGTAGATGCGCACAGGGAAGGTCTAACAAAAATGCTTAAAAAAGAAAGAAATATGAAAAGGAGAAAGCTTAAAACTCGAATGCCAGAAATGTTCGCTAATGGAGTGTAACAGCCCACACACAGACAGCGCGCACTCACACACACACTCGCACTCGCAGATGGAAACACCCACACAAGCATCGAAAACAAAATGAAACTCAAATAACAATTATTAAGGCGTTGCCAGACAGGCACACACAATACAAACACAACACAAACACAACAATTATGTGCCACTGTGTGTGTGGGCGGAGCGGTGGCGCGATACGAACTCAAACTGAAATACAAACACCAGCGTAAACGTACGTATTACGCACGCACTCACACCAATGCCAGTTCCAGTTTCCAGGCCAAGTCAGCCAATGAGAAAATGTTGTTGCCTGCTTGTTTGCCCGTGCGTTTCTGTGTGTGTTTGCGTGTATTTGTGTAATGCTCGCCGCTCTTCTTCTTCTTCCGCTCTCGCTTGCGCGCACTGTTGTTGTTTGCCTCAGAGGGTGGTTGTTTCCAGTGCGCGAGTGTGTGTGTGTGTAAGTTGTGGAACCCGTTTTCCGCTCCCCCTCTTTCGGTCCTAAAGGTCTGTTACACTGAACAACAGCATTTGAAACAGCCACAAAAGCAGCGCAGCCGTATTGCAGTGGTCGGTGAATGAACCACGCACAGTGTCATTTAATTTGTCTAATATATACATATTTAAAGTTGTTTAATTCGATGGCTATAAAGGCTTGGTTCGCAGACGTTCAACCATCTGCTGAGTTTTTTTTGCTTGAAATGATCTGCGTATTGTGTATTTCAACACAGATAGTAAAACATCTCCAACACTGCACTAAAACACCATCATTGTCCGAGTTATCACAGTTATTGTTAATCTTTAACTGAAAGTTTTCTGTTCAAAGAGCACAAAGGCTATATGCATAATTAGTGCTGAATATCCATCTTGCGTACACGACTAGTTGAAAAAAAATATTGTCAGTTCGTTTTGAAGTTATTTCCTTATTAATATTATATAAATTTATACAACTACATTTTGACCTTGATTTAAGAGTAGTAAGTAATTAGGAAGATCCAGTAATGTATCCTTAGTGTTTTTTAGAAGATATTCTGTGTAGCATACTTTTCAACTGAGGTGACCCAATATAATACCCCTAACACTACTAAAGTGAAATACCTTTTTCTGAATTCTTTTAGAGACTAGAATAAATCCCTTTAGAGAACATTTCCTATCTTTTCAAGACCACAATTATTCTGGGCATATTATGACACTCCCAAAATGCAGCCACATGATCAAGATAAAAATTAATTGATAAGTGGGCGCTTTATTTATTTATTTATCTATGAGAACTGTATCCCCATGAAAATAATGCTCTACCAGAAGACAATCCCCACCCGCTCAAGTGTCAGCGACCTTTGGGCTCATCTATTTTGATGCCATGTTCGAGAGCGCTTGCACCACTGTGCTTCGCTTCTAATGCCTTTAAAATGCTACCTGGGGAATGGGAGTCGATATGGAATTGGGAATGGGACTGAGACACCATTTTCTTGCGCTCTTAATGCTGTATTGCTGTTTCCCCCGTTTGTGTATGTGTGTATGAGTGTGTTTGTTTGCCAGTGTGAGTGCCGTGTGCCTTGGATTGTTTCCTGTGCTCGTTTGTCGTATTTCTGGTCTCGTCTAGGATTTTATGCTTTTTAAATTCTTTTGTCTCGTACATTTTTTGTTGATGAATGTTCTGTGTATGTTGCACGTTGGTGGGTTTGTCTTTTCTCTGGGGGTGTTTGTTCTGCTCCCTCTTCTTGCTCCTCGCCATCGGTGAGTGTTTATCTTGGGTGTTAGTGTGGGTGCCGTCCTGTGTGTGTGTGTGCGTGCTTGACTTCTAGTGAGGAAATCCGCTTAATGCTGTAATTTTGCTGCGCTGTACAAACGAACACGTCAACTTTGATAGTGTAACCGTTTTTAAGCAAAGCAAATGTGAAGATTCCTGCAACTCTTTATGCTAATACGAGCTAGGAATAGATAGTTACTCTATAACACTATATAGGAAAAGTGCACTCGAACTTGTTTAACAATGAGAAATAGGGTTTTGTTCCGATTTCATGTTCCTCAAGAGATAAAGATCAAAAGATTAATTTTTGAACAAAAAAATCTTTTTTACAGTTTATTTATTTTTTATCAAAACATTTAAATGAATGCCATATATAAAAAGATATAAGAAATCTCAATATTCTTGAGCTCTTTGTAATCTCGTGACCAAAATATTTTTACCAAAAAGATTAACTTATGGGCCAATTACTTTAACATCAGTTTATCATCTAAAATGAAACGCTTCATAAAGTCACTTAAGCCCTAGGTGAAAACACAAAAATCCCCCCATTTCAACACTATTTTTGGGCAGACCCGGTCTTAGAAGGTCTTTAGCACCTACTATTCTTTGGGGACTTAATTTTGGGGGAGCAGTCTCGGTTTCTCCCGCCAATCATCCCTCAAATATCATTACTTCAACTATTTTTAGGCATTAGCCTTGATATTAAACTGTCGTAAATTTCAACGTGAGCTTGCCGCTGGGAAATAAAAAGTATGTACTCATAAGCAATCTGTATATAACGGTGCTTATGTATTTTCCTAATAGAGACATTCAATTTGCTCCATTTCACTTAACATTCGCATTTGAAATTCAAAAATTGTTTTTAGAAGTAATTCAATTAATTGTAAACTATATTTTTTGCTTACATAAAACGATTCCACAATGGAATGTTAATGCCTTGTCGGTATATATATTGCTATATATATGCAGTCGCTTTTGTGTATACCCATAGGTATCTAATGAAACGTGATTTTCTCTAAAACGTGACTTTGTATTGATTTTTCTCCAACCATACTTTTGTTTCATTTTACACCAAAGCGTAAGACTGAACCATAGTGTTTCTGTTGTAGTTGTAGCAGTAGTTGCTTTTGTTGTTGTTCTTTTTTATTGCCGCCGTTTTTTGTTTTTGCATTTTTTATGGCAGCGGAAAATTGGTATCGTCAACTGCTAAATGAATACGCAGTAGATTGGCTTCCGAACCATTTCGATGTGATTTTATTACTGTCATTAATAGCGCAATGGCGGAACGACAATTCCCAGAAGTTTATAAGTGACGGAAGCTACTTTTTTTGTGTAAATGTTATTACTTATTTATTTTTATAATTCATTGAATTTTGATTGATTCACTTGAGGTAATGTTAAATATTAAAAGAGCCATGCATTCTTTGGCCAAAATGGGGGTTTAAAGCGATAATGATGGTAGTGGTAGTAGCAGTTTAGTAGTTAAGTAGTATCCTAACCCTTTCGCCTTGAATATTTCTCAAGCCAATTTGCTCGCAACTTGTCACCCGAATTCCCCGCTCCACTTGGTGGGCTTATGTGTGTACCGTGTTTACACTCCTTTCATGTTGGTCTATTTGCCGGAAACACACCTACCGTCGATATTTGCTCAGTGTCCACCATCAGCGAAGGTAGCCGGTTTCCAGGTTCGTCCGGACTCATTGTTGTTCCACTGCTGCTGGTGTTTTGGAGCAAACTCGAAATCAAATTCAAATTTATGGTGAACATCACGTACGTCCGACGACCGACAATGACAACAACAGACGGCGGTTCGGTTGGAAGTCCAGCTGCGACTTCGATTCTGATTCCGATTCCGATTCCGAGGGAATGGAGTGGACTCCACTGGACTGGCTGCACCTTGGAGAGCAAGTGATAATGGAGGTGTTTGGGTATTTACGCGTAGGTGAGGTCAGACATGTGTACATACGAGTATACCACACCATACTCATACTGTGCCATACATACACGTATGTGGTGTGTACAAAGTCGGGGCCTCAAATTATGATTATCGATTTGACCCTTGGAAGTTGGTAGTGTGCTGCTGTGCAATACATTTTGACTTGTTTGATTTTCCGAGAGCTGGGGGATTGTTGGTTTTCGTATTGTTCTATGGCCTATGGGGCCCATCGGCCATTTGGTTGCAAGTTTGTATTGTTGATCGATTTTACGTGATATTTCCGAGATTTTCCGTATTTATAGCTTGGCTGCTCCTGGTACACATTTCGTTGCTGCCGTATTTGTTGCTCCTCTGTTGTTGTTGTACATATGTATATATATTTTTTTTGTATTCCATTCGAAAGTTTACTTTCGCATTTTGAACGCCTCATCGCTTTGCGTATTTGCCCTGGCTATTTGTACGCCCCCATCCACTTCACTTTTCCCCCCAAAAAGCCCCAAATAATTCCAAACTGGAGGCGGCAGCTCTCGTTTATGTTTGTTGAGCAAATACAAATACAAACACGAATAAAATACATGCATAATTATTTTTGAAAATATAGTGTAATGAAAGCAGTGATTATGATGTGCTGGTTGATTATTATTACGATTATGGCTTCGGTCGGGCGGATCGATTTGGCTGCGTTTTATTTGCTTTCACTTCGCTGCTCCCCAATTTCCCCAACTGTTTGCCTTGGTTGTGTTTTATTTCTGATTTACGGTTAAGTTCATGCAAAACAATTTGCCCGATTAATGTTAAATAAAATGCATATTCGATTTACAAACAAAAGCACAACATTCGCATTTGCTGTTTAAACTAGCATTTGCTCGACTAATATTTATTTTGTTGGTTTTTGCACGCCATTTTAAAATCTGCACTCATTTACACCTATATAATTTGAAAATTAAATTGTGCAAATAGCACGTTTTTTCTAGTGATTTAAGGGAACAAATACACAATTTATTTAATTAGGCATTTTAGGAAGCTTCAGATATTTCGATTGTAATTAATTTATTTTATACCATTTTTCTTTTCGATGTTCTGCAATATTCACAGATTTTGCCTGAACGAAAGCTGTTTCTATAGTTTATTTGATTTAAGCTCTTGATTATAAATATTTTTCCTCCACTCTCTCATATTATTTAAATGCTATTTTTAAAAATAATATTAAATTCATTTTTAAGGGTGGAAAGACACGAAAGTAATGACTTAAACTCAATTTAAAGCTTGAGTTCTTGTAAATATCTTTTGATGCTCAAGCGACAAAAGACGATTATTTCGCCGAGTCTGGGGATCCGCTCGCAATCTTTGCTTAATTCCTTGCTCATAAACCATTATGCTAATCAATAGGCCGTTCCTTGCATAATTTAGAGCGCCATAAAAGGGCCAATTGCCAACTTAACGGGGGCAAAAGCAGCGACAACTGTGCGCAATTAGCGGATTTGGGCGACCAAAAACAAAGCCAACGCTTTGTTGCCTCGTTTCCGAGATTTTGGCTGGTGTTGTTGCTGTGACCGTCGTTACTTGTTATTGCAGGCAATTAAAAACACACGCCCAACACCCTCGGAACACCCCACACACACTCACACACACACCCCTCGGATTGCATAAACTTTTGTTTGATAATGTTAAAGTGCCGCGCAAACAAATCAAAAAGCATATTGAAATTGGGTTAATGTACGGATACGGAGGCAACCAGTCCGGATGCGAGTCCGTATCCACATCCAGTTGGTCTGGCCTGGTGGTGTCCTTAGCCGCTGTTTGCTTTACGGGTTTTAATCCGAAAATTAAGCGCGAGCTGAGCATTAAAATTTGCCACCCATTCCGAGGGAGGTTGCCCCTTCAGCGACGCGCCGCCGACTGTTGTTTCAAGATAAAAACTTCATGTGCGTTGGGAAAACACTCGGGAAAAAGAGCAAGGGACCGCAAATGTGGGTGGTGGGTGGAAAAGGTGCACTGAGAAAAAGGTTATGGGACTTAAGTAATTTGAAAATATTCCATTTCCATATATAATGTGCCTTATGCGGTGCCATTTCAGTTGATTTTATTGTCTTAGCATGAGGAATATTTTGTCTGGGAAATACCGAATGCAGTGGCTCAGCTTCTCTCAGCTATTGAAAACTTGTCATGATTTGATTAAACTTTGTATTTCCCAAATGAAACAGCATGATTCTTAGATTCTATCAAGAATATTCTGCTTAATGGCGATGTTCATGATGTTCATTGAACCAATTGCTATGAAGTGTTCACCAAATCAAAGTCCTAGAAGGTTATGGTTGAACCTACCTTACATTCAACTAGAATAATTTTTCGAGTGCTGCAACATTTTGGCGTGAACAGGAGCAGAGCTCTTATCGTCGTGGCCCCGGCATATGTGACGCACATTTACAGCGTATGGCGATTTTCCGCTTGCCACGGCCACGGCCACAGCTTCCCACCTGATAGGACAGCTCGGGAATGTGTGGCCATCTCGGTGAGGTGCCGGCAGGAGTGGCAGGTAAGACTGGCCGGCTCGCAAGTTTCTCACACTTCCAGGACATGTGCTGCTCTTTTGGCCGTTTTTCCCCGACTGGTTATCAATTGGCCGATTGGAAATTCCCGCCTGGCGATGCGCTAGCGTGAGAACGTGGCTGCGAGCATCGGGTCTTTAGCATATCCATACCTGTGGATCGGCCTGATGGGAAGCGAGCAGCAGGATCGGTCATCGGTTGCAGGACATAGGATATAGGATGCAGGCGCTGTTGCGCCTCGCCCGCAACACCCACATTAGCATCGGACCAGCGTCCAGTGTCCTGTTAATTGCTTTATGGACTCTCTAGTTTCCGCTGCGTGGGAATCTTCCACATCCTACCTGTTCCCATGCCACACCATCCATCACCCACTGCCATCACCATGCGGCACTTTCTAGTTCAAGTTCAGTGTGAATATTTGTGTTGACTTTATTTTTAAACTTTTAGCCATTTGTTGTCAGTCTGCTGTTTGCCTGTAACCAGATTAAGGTCAAGTTGGTTGAACGGGCTGGGACTCGGCTTGAGATCCGGTTCATTGAGTTGCCATTCGGGGCATGAGTCGCACTTTTATCCGCTTTCCGGGAAAAGATCGTTAAAGTGCTGGCAAATTGAATTTGTGTGGCTTGAAAGAGGAACTTTCCTCGCCTGAGGATTTATTTGTATAGTTGTACAAAAACTTTCGAAAGGGAATTTATTTTAGGCTTGTTTCAAATTAATTTATTAAAAGAAAGTTCGGTATTAATATATTTACTTCATTTAATATCTATAATACTAGGAGCATCAGATCATAAGATCAAAAGAATTAAAGATGTCTACATTTCATACTTAGCAGCATCGTTTTTCTTTGATTCCCATATCCAGGACTGAAATTATGGAAACAAACGATGATATATCATTGGCATATTCCTGTATTTATGGCTATATGAAATGCTGTAATGCTCGCGGGGAATTATAGCTTATATCCTGAATAATTTTGACCCACTTACGGCTCGTAAACTATCCTATTAAACGGATTTGCCGGCATATGATACTCAACCCTCTGGCCGACTCCTGTCCGCATTTTGTCCGCGAGTCGAGTCATTTATGGCAATCGCGGCCTAAATGGGAACGGGTCTGTTTTCCCCTATTTCCCCTGGCATTTCCACTTTTCCGCAGAGGAAAGGAAGCAACCTCACTTCAGCCGTGCATGTTGGCACATTTGCGTTGCGGATTAGCGCGGAATACTCTTTAGGATTACGATCGTTGGGCAAATCTGTTGCTCCTGCGAATGCGTAACGGATGTCGACAATTCCCTCAATCTCTGACTTTTGACAAATGTTTCATTTCTTGATGGTGAATGGATGCCAAGCACCAGCAATACAAAGGAGAGCTTTTGTTGCAGTTTTTGATTTCATTTGTAAACTAATGTTACACTCTTTTGACTATTATGTGGCATTGACTCCTTCAACTTTTCAACATGAGCTTAAAAGGCGTCGGATTGACTTGCATAGCTAACATTTTTGCAGTGCAATTGAGGGCAAATTGGCGGCAAACCTAAAAACATTAAGATACGTGACCTATGTCAATAAACTTGTATCTACGTGCGAATTCCAGCCATTCGGTACATTTGGGTAAATGGCCAAGTTCTTTAAAAGTGTCAGGAAAAGTAACTCAATGGAAAATAAAGCAGCAGGAGTCCCAATGGCTTAGATTTGGCCAAAACTGCGCCAAAATCACGTTCGAAAACTATCAATGGTCGGATTCTGGCTGTGGGTCATCCACATCCTGGAAGTGGAAGTGGATGTGAGTGTGAGTGTATGGTGCACATAGATGTCGCCACCTCCTAAACTCTCGGTTTGTGTGGCAGTGTGCGTGGGACATCATTTGAGTATTATCTATGTGCTCACACAGACACCGGAATATATGTATATGTGTATATAGATATAAGTGAAACTCCTGCGGTCGGCAAAGGCCAACCTGTTGAATGCAGGAGTCACTTCGAGTGAGATGGCAGCTATTTGCGTTTCGCCATTCAGCAAAAAGGATCTGGGCAAATTAGTAACATTGCAAAAAGTCAATTGCCCCGGATAAACAGGTAAAATGCAGTGCAGCCAATGGCAGGTTGTTTTCCCAGGATCAGGTAGCAGATCCTTTTCGGGATCGGTTGGGAAACTGTTAAAACTGCTCGTCCTGGTGGAAGGCGGCTCAGTTGCAAACAGGTGATTGCAGGGACATGAGCAAGTGCTAAGGAAGTGCTCGCAACAGTTTCAAAACAGGATATTTATATATAGAGAAGGATATTTTTATTTTCAACATGACAAACCATCGGCGAGTGCGCAAGGATTGCTATGAGAGCAGATTACACGGTCGGTTGTGGTTTTTGGCAACGGAATATACGACTTTAGTTTTTTTTTTACCAACTTTGCCTTATTTTACTGAATATGCTTTTTGGTTATTTCGACTTTTGCAGATATAGCCAAAACGTGTGCCATGAAGGAGAAAAGCAAAAATGCGGCACGCACGCGACGTGAAAAGGAAAACACGGAATTCTGCGAATTGGCCAAATTACTGCCGCTGCCAGCGGCGATTACTTCGCAACTGGACAAGGCCTCCGTCATCCGGCTGACCACATCGTATTTGAAAATGCGCCAAGTCTTTCCCGATGGTAAGTTGATACGGAAAATCGCCTATATTCGTCGCCGTGCTGCTGAGGAAAACTCACTTGATTGGCGCTCAATTTGTCGCCGCTGTTGGCTTTTCATCTCGTGTGAAATGCGCCTTGTGGCTATGGTAAATGATGCGGAATGTTTGACAGCCACGCGACCGACACGCTCATTATAATCCAGGCTCGACATATCCTCACAGCAGGACATGCTCCTTTGTTTTCCCTTTAACTCCAATGTACTTGCAATGATTTTATTTCAATCCACTTCGCGCTGCGAAGTTTTCAAGTTTAAACGGCTATGTTTGTTTAAAGCATATGTTGGCGACAATCGGCCAGGGAAACAAGGAAACAGGGAAACGGGAAACAGGGAAATAGCACTCAACAATGGGCAGACAATAAACAGCAGGCAGGATGAAGTGGGCGACTGGTTGGGGTTGGCCGAAACACAATGGCGGCTGTTGTTTCACTCAAAGAGCAGCGAGGAACGAGCAGCGAGAGCCGCACTGGAAAACCGAACTGACCCCCATCCACCCCCAGAAAATTTCCCAACTTTTCCCCACCGCCCATGTGAGTGTGCGCCACTGAGATTTTCTGCTGACAAAGAGGGTTGCTCGAGAAGTGGGTGGGTGGGCGGTTGGTTGGTTGTAGCTCCCATTGTTGCCGCACCGTTTTGTGCTTTTCTTTTCTGCCTTTATTGAAATAATTATTTTAATAATAGGCAACAAACAACGAGATCCGGACGGGCCAAGGAAGTGCCAATGCTATTATATACCTCACAATGTATGTAGTATATATACGAGTGTGTATGGTGCGAACTGAGGGAAAATCGGGGGTGGGCCAGTGGGTGGAATGGTGGGCTGTGAATGGGCCACCTACGGCGCTCGATGACTTTAATTGGGAATAATATTTAGACGTCAGCAGTGGCAAGTAGGGCGTGTGCTGATGCCACAACCACCGCTGGTGGGAATTCTGCGAATTAAGATACTTCCAGTGGATGACAAGCAATTAATTCAGGACAAAAGACAATAGAAACGGGAGCTTGACATGAAACTAAATCATAATCGGGAGCGATATATAATTAGATTTATTGAGTAGCAAGATCTTATTACATTAGCTATTTAAAGCGCTGCTCAATTTGTAATGTTTCATACTCTATATTTTATACACAACAGTTTAGTGAAAACATATCCGATGTTTTAATAGATTCAATGAAGGCATTAAATATTATTTGTACGTTTCTGCCAAGCATCTGTCACAAATCTGAATCATGTTTTCCAGGTCTTGGCGAAGCCTGGGGCTCCTCGCCCGCCATGCAACGCGGCGCCACCATCAAGGAGCTGGGCTCCCATCTGCTGCAGACGCTGGACGGATTCATCTTCGTGGTGGCTCCGGATGGCAAAATCATGTACATCTCGGAAACGGCCTCCGTGCACTTGGGCCTCAGTCAGGTGAGTGTCGTTGGATCTCTTGTCCTGATTTATGCGCATAATTTGCCGGGCCACCTGAATTTGCCTTTTCGCATCCTGGCCACCACTTGCATTTGCAAGTCAATGGGCTTGGGTGCAGGAAACCCAAGTGTGGTGGCTTCGGAAAAGCCGATTCATTTGCATTTGCCAACTAATTGGCACTCAGTGCTGCTGGAGAAGACTTACATAGCTCCAGTTATATTATCAACTTGGCAAACTTAATATTTGCGGTATAATGTTTCGGTATATGATAAAATAAAGTTGAAGCGCAACAAATATGAAAATATAATGCTAATATGTACAATTTTTACCATTTGAATGCTTTGCTTTTATCATAATAATTTATCATAATGCTTTGTTTAAATCATATTAATATTTAAAAACCCAATGCTCTGTTTTTCACCAGGTTGAGCTTACGGGCAACTCAATATTCGAGTACATACACAACTACGATCAGGACGAGATGAACGCCATCTTGTCACTGCATCCGCACATCAACCAGCATCCAGTGAGTAGATCCCGAATTCTCCACAGGGTCCTTTGAAACATTTGTGAATGTTTGCGCTCTCTCTTTCTCTCTCTCTCTCTCTCCATCGCTCTCTCCATCTCTCGTTGCCATGCATCCATCCTACTCTGACTTGTACTCACGCCACAGGCCGCCTTTCTCAACTCCCTACAGCTCGCCCAGACGCACACGCCCATCGGCAGTCCCAATGGCGTCCAGCACCCATCCGCCTACGACCACGATCGCGGATCGCACACCATCGAGATCGAGAAGACCTTCTTCCTGCGCATGAAGTGCGTCCTGGCCAAAAGGAACGCGGGCCTCACCACCTCCGGATTTAAGGTAAAGGACTCTATACTCATTCCATTCCTTCAAGCGGATTGCTTATCCTTGTACTATTTGATTACTTGGTTGTAGGTTATACACTGCTCGGGCTATCTGAAGGCTCGCATCTATCCCGATCGCGGCGATGGACAGGGCAGCCTCATCCAGAATCTCGGCCTGGTGGCCGTCGGTCACTCGCTGCCTTCATCCGCCATCACGGAAATCAAGCTGCACCAGAACATGTTCATGTTCCGGGCCAAGCTGGACATGAAGCTCATCTTCTTCGATGCACGGTAAGCGAAGTCAATATTTCCGATTGACTTAAGCACAAATAGATGGATGGTTCTTGGGTTACATATGTTTTATCACTTGGCATGGCAATCCTTTTTATAAATTAAGTAAATTTAAGTAAATGCGAACTTTCAAACCCCCGATCAAAGCAACTTTTTGTGTGTGTAGGCTGCAGCTTTCACAACATAATTTTTCTCACTGCATTCGAAGAATCCTCGAAAGTATCCTTTGTCTGTTTGCCGTATATTCGACACTAGGCAAATATTTAAACGGGCCGCAGAATTCGTTTTTTACACCACGATAAAAAGTACCAGCAGACGCCCCCGAAAAGATAATGTTTTCCAAGTGGCAGAAAACAAAAAAGAATTGAGTAGGAAAAGGGAAATGTAAGCAAGGCGGTGGCGACATGACAAAAGGAAAAACAAATCATTTCCCTCTTGAGCTTGATTTTCCTTTGTCACTGCAAGCGTGTGTGTGTGTGTGTGAGTGTCGAGGGGGAAAGGACTCTGTGTAAGTGCCTGGCGGGCCAAAAAACCAGCCCACTTTGTCTGACATTATTGTCACTCAATTACCCTCATGATGCCACAGCATATTGCCATCCTATTCTGGCGCCCTCGCACTTTGCCAGCGAACAACCCCAAAGTGGTGAGCGGAAATCAGCCCCTTTTTCGCCGCCTCTTTTTGTTTTTCCTGCATAATTGAATGGAAGTCGGCGAAAGTAAACCGGCCGAATAAAACACGCCAGCAGCAAAGGCAACACCAATGACCATTCACTGTTTAAATAAGCCAGCGAAACTGCTGCCCTCGACCTCGAAACTTATCCTCATCCTCATCCTCAATCTCATCCTTTCGCCTGTTTATTTGTCCACAGCGTATCGCAGCTAACCGGATACGAGCCGCAGGACCTCATCGAGAAGACCCTGTATCAGTACATCCACGCCGCGGACATCATGGCCATGCGCTGCTCCCATCAAATCCGTAAGTAAACTCCTTGTGCACTGAGTGCAAACGGCAATGTTTTCCCTGAAAGTAATAAACATTTATTCAAATTTGTTTTTCAACAGTGCTGTACAAAGGACAAGTGACCACCAAGTACTACCGCTTCCTCACCAAAGGCGGCGGCTGGGTGTGGGTGCAGTCGTACGCGACCCTGGTGCACAACTCGCGATCCTCGCGAGAAGTGTTTATCGTGAGCGTGAACTACGTGCTGAGCGAACGAGAGGTGAAAGACTTGGTGCTGAACGAGATTCAGACAGGCGTTGTGAAGCGGGAGCCCATATCACCGGCGGCTCAAGCGGCACAGGCGGCACAGGCGGCTCAGGCGGCTCAAGCGGCCCAGGCGGCACAAGCGGCACAGGCGGCACAAGCGGCACAGGCGGCACAAGCGGTGCAGGCCCAGGTGGTGGTGGTGCCCCAGCAGTCGGTGGTGGTGCAGCCACAGTGCGCTGGAGCAACGGGTCTGCCGGTGGGTCCCGGAACGCCAGTTAGCCTGGCACTCAGCTCCAGTCCCAAGCTGGATCCCTATTTCGAGCCGGAGCTGCCGCTGCAGCCGGCCGTTACGCCCGTGCCCCCAACGAATAACAACAGTAGTAGTAGCAACAACAACAACGGCGTGTGGCACCACCATCACGTGCAACAGCAGCAGCAGCAGCAACAGCAGTCGGGGAGCATGGACCACGATAGCCTGAGCTATACGCAGCTCTATCCGCCCTTGAACGACCTGGTGGTGAGCTCGAGCAGCAGTGTGGGTGGTGGCACCGCCTCAAGTGCGGGCGGCGGATCCAGTGCGTCGGCCTCGTCCTCCGGCGTTTACTCGACGGAGATGCAATATCCGGATACGACCACCGGCAACCTGTACTACAATAACAACAATCACTACTACTACGACTACGATGCCACGGTGGATGTGGCCACCTCGATGATACGTCCATTCTCGGCCAACTCGAATAGCTGCTCGAGCAGTTCGGAGAGCGAAAGGCAGTTGTCCACCGGAAATGCGTCCATTGTGAATGAGACTTCGCCCTCGCAGACGACCTACAGCGATCTGAGTCACAATTTCGAGCTGAGCTACTTCTCGGACAACAGTTCGCAGCAGCATCAGCATCAGCAGCAGCAGCAGCATCTGATGGAGCAGCAGCACCTGCAATACCAATATGCCACCTGGTGATCCTAAATGTAAATACCAATAGTTGGACGAGCCTTGACTGCTACTGTACTGTTGTTTATAAAACGTCGACTGCCCCCAATCCGTTGCAATGTTATACACAGCTCTGAGTTCTCAGTTCCCAAATGTAATATGTGGCTGAGCCACACACCATCTGAATTTCTAGACCTCCTCAATGCCCTTTTATTTATTGAATACCCTAGGCATCCCCGAATGCGTTCGCGTTACTTGTGCAGTGTAAAGTTAGAAAGAATGGAAGATACAAAATGCAAGCAGATGAAGAGTCAAAGAAAGAAATACGGAATGATCCTTGTTAACAAATGCAAAAGCAAATACAAATTCTATAGTAAATAGCTGTAAGGCCTAATTGTAAACTGTTCATACAAACTAACTTAAATGAATTGCACATACTTATACTTAACTATATCGTAAAGCGCATACACTTGGCCCCATAATCATGCATATATAGGATCTACGTATATATATATCCATGTATATAATTATGCAATAATGTGTAAATAGTGCTGGGTCCGCTCCACTATGCAGATAACGAATATGATCTTCATAAGTCAAGTAAATAATTGTAAATGTAAAATGGATTATTATCGAGAATTTTTCTAATTTGAATAAACAAATTATTACGTGGGTGAACAATAAAAATAGAGCAGGATTTCAATTTTTTCAATAAGCGCCGCTGGAAGCCTCTAGAGTTATTATTTAATTTAGTAATCTTGCTTTACAAATAAAATGTTATTTTCAAAAATTAGCCCCTTAATCATTTTCCTTATTCTTTATTTCAAATTATCCATTGATATGCTTTTATGTTCTTCAGATATAGCGTTTTAAAGTCAACTTTAGAATTGGATTATACAAGTTTTTTTTAAATAACATTCGTTGAATTTCAAATATATCGTTGCATACTTTTGGGCACTTTTTAGTTCCCTATTCTGCAACCAGCTCATATTCTACGTAGATGTATTTTACATACGATTAAAGGACATAGTTGTTCGCCATCTATGGGCTATGGACAGAACTTGGTGTTCCTTGCAAGATGTATATTCACCACTGTGTGATGAAGTATTTTAAATCAATTGCCATAGTCATTATGGAGAATTTTTCTAATTTGAATAAAGAAATTATAACGTGGGTGAACAATAAAAATAAAGCAGGAGTTCGATTTTTTCAATAAGCGCCGCTGGAAGCCTCTAGAGTTATTATTTAATTTAGTAATCTTGCTTTACAAATAAAATGGTATGTTCGAAATTTGGCCCTTTAATCTGTTTCCTTATTCTTTATTCAAATTATCAAATCAAATATATCGTTGCATACTTTTGGGCACTTTTTAGTTCCCTATTCTGCCACCAGCTCATATTCTACGTAGATGTATCTTAAATACGATTAAAGGACATAGTTGTGCGCCATCTATGGGCTATGGACAGAACTTGGTGTGCCTTACAATATGTATATTCACCACTGTGTTGGGAAGTATTTTAAATCAATTGCCACAGTCACCCTGTGCCTAGAGCGATAACGGTTATTTAAATTTTAAATTCAAACCATTACGTTCTTTTGAATTTCTTAAATTTTACATATACAATGGTCATGGTGCTGCATAAGGGATTGAACTATATATTAGATACCATTATTAGTATGTTGTTCTGCACATTTTACTAGCATTCAAAGCCACAGCATTCGAATCGAAGCCCCAGGATGCCTGAAATGCTGCCTATTCCTAATTCAAAATGCTGGTGCAGCATAAACATGTGAAGCCGAGGCGAACCAAACGCTTCTGGCCAAGTTGTTGGCCTGGCCTGAAATAGTTGGCCCCGATTGTGTGGGAGGGTGGGAGGTTAGGCTAGGACCATTGATTTATTGCCTGCCATTTTGTGTGAGCCAACGGAGTAGGCATCCTTTTTTGCTGGGAAGTGCTATCTGCAGATAAGCCTGACCTCTTTTGGGCCGGGCTAATTGGCGTTTTTCAATCGCCAGGCCACTTGCACTTTGTGTTTCTGTTGGCAGGCCCTTGGCTAATTTATTTCTTGAAGCATTTTGAAAAGTTTACGCCTCGCCAGCACATAGACCGCAAATTATTTAATTGCCATCTGGCCATGCCCTCTGAAAAGCCTTTTTCGAATGCCTTTGCGGCTCAAGGACTTTTCTCCGATGCAATAATTTAAGTGCAAGCAAACCGCAACTTTCTGGCTGAAGCACGCAGACTCACAGACTCACAGGACTCAGAACTCAGATCGCAGGACATCGGACTCAACTGGGCCAAAAGAGAGAAAGAAAGATAGAGAGAGTGGGAAAGAGAAGGGGGCGATGGCCCGAAGGCAAAGAAGTCATATTAAAAATGAACAAAAGTAAGAGGCAAAAAACGGACGTGGGAGTTGCCTGCAACTCCAACTCGAGTGCCAACTCCTGCCCCAATGCCCCAGAGCATCCCATCTTGCAGCTGTGCTCGGCCTTGCCCCAAACCAACCCGAAAGGCGCTTTAATAATGAAAGTTGCGCCCGTTTTTGGGGAACATTGGACGCATTTCAGAATGCAAACCTAATTTCGGGTTTTTAAAAACACAAGTACTCTGTCGCCGCAGCAAAGTATTTCAATTTAAAATTCGTAACGAGCTTACGTGCCAGCTGGTTAGCTGGCCAGCTTGGTCAGATCTTGCACTTTTGTTCTGGCCGTCGGAGAAGGACTCTCCAGTGGCGACCAGGTCGCATTTCAAATTAATGCAAGCCCGAAAGTGTGTGCCACTGGCATACTGAAATTAAATGAAATGCGAGCTCGGTGCCAGAGATGCAGCATGAAATCCAATGGTCGTGGCATAATCCTTTCAAAATATATTCATGGCAGCTCCGCCCAATGACGGCTGAGGTTATAACGAAATCAATTTAATATTATAGTTTTCAGAATTTCAATGAGGCAGTTCTATGGCGGTGTAGGAGTGCGAATTCAGTTTCTCCTCTTTTAGCATTAATCAGGGGAATAAACGAACAAACTATTTTCTAAAAATAAATATGGGCTTATAAAGAAATCTCAATCTTAAGTAAGCAATTATATATTAAACACCATAATTAAATTGAATCTTCTACCTTTGTACTGAATATTCCAACTTAAACCAGCGGAGCTAAAAATAATTGCTTAAATTGTACCTGAATACCTAATGGCATCATTTCCTGCTTATTGTTCATTCTCATTTTCTTTTGACCCAATTTCGGGGCTCTTGGCCCTAAATCCTTAGTCTCTCAAGCTCAGCGGGATTTCTTTGTCCTGCAGGACACTCCGATCCGCCTGCTCATCTCTAACTGAGTAATAACCAGGAGTAGTGGGTCACAGTCGTCCGGATTACCTGCTTAAGACTCATTGCGGTTGTGCGAAGGGAAGCTGTGCTGAAACTGCTCTAAATTTTTAATTCGTGTGTGCTGTTTCAGCTGCAGATTGGGACAGAATATGGGATATGGGATGGAATCAACTCCAATTGCGGGCCAAGCTTCCAAGGTGTCCGGCTGGCTTCTAACGATCCATTGTGGCCATACAGCTGTGCAGTTTTTGCGGCTGCCAAATGGAAATTTCAAGCCCATTACATGAATGTTTAAATGCTCGAATGGGCCGGGCTGCTTGGCCCCTGAAAAACTGCCTACTTGGCCATTTCGCCCCCAAAGAAACCCAATTGGGTCCCTTCACTTGAGTGAATGTGAGGCGCAGCTGTACACACATTCGCCTCCAGGGAGCAACCCAACATGTAGTACTAACGGTGGCATTAAAACTGGACGTTGGCCATCTTCAGCACACCAAAAGGAATCCCATTCGAAATGGGGCCAGTTGAAAAGTGCAATTGGCAAACAGTTCAGACTGAAAAGTTGCAAAGGGAATGGACGACACCAGACCAAATGGCCAAATGGTCCTGGGCAAGGCAAGAAAGGCGAAGCCATTGAAAAGACGACTCTGGTAATTTGTTCTGAGCGGCTTTTGTTTTGTGCGCCATTTTCATTTCGATTCGTTTTGGCCAACTTTTGGAGGCGGCATCCTTTCTCGCTCCGTTGACAACGGACGGACTTCTGATTGAGTGTGTTTTTTGGGTGTGACGTGGATCTTCAACCTTTCCCCTGCCAAATCCCGAACGCTTTCCCTTTCCGATTGACCTTCCCTGACATTTTTCGCAATGCCCCAAAATTTATCACTTAATAAATTACCCTTGGCCCTGTTAACCGCCTTAACGTGTTCTATCTGTTTTCCCACGAATGGTAATTGGAAATGCTGAAATCGAAGCTGTACAAATTGGGGTGGACTGAACTATGGCCTGCCGAAAATGTCTCAGCCCTGTGGGTTACCCAGGCTCAAGTTATGAGTTTGATAATTGAAATTTTATGCAAGGGTTCGAGTTTGGTCTCAATACATTTTGCCATTGTTTGTAACCACGTTAGTTTGAGTTTATCTGTCCATGTCTTTCTGTCCGTATGTTTGTATGTCCATATAATCTTGGGAGCTAAAAGGAAACTCCAAAGTTAAGATTAAGTGTTCGCTCTTGTCTTAAACCTTTTTAGTGCTATTGGGCGAAAATCAAGTTTATTTTCCTGGAATCTCACAATAATCCTGATTTACAGCCAAAATCTGAGCAAATTTATGACACATCAATTGGGCAAGTACTCCGAAATTTCAATAAATTCGCCTTGATCTGCATAAATGCAAAGTTTATTCCCGAGGCCTGGATTTCAGCGAAATTGTATGGGTAAGTGTCATAAATGTGAATCAGGAAAGCTGGCAAAGGCAAAATACGATTCGCATATCAAAGGCGTATTAACGTTTGTACGCACTTCCATGCCTTTATATAAAAAAAAAAAAACCAAAAAAAACAAGAAGTGACTTAAAAGCACCGCGAAGACAAAATATCCCTGCAGGATGGCAAATCCTTTCGTGCACACATAAACGCTTTTGGGAGGGAGCGAAATTTATGTAAAAGACTTGAGCATAAAATCGCGCATCATTGAAGTTGAAATGCTCGACATCATCAATACACTTCTTTGTTGGCCATTAAGTGCGGCCAAATCTTTTCCTGAGCCCCTCCAGCCAAACGTTGCGCATACGCCATGTGTGCTGGGTGGTGAGTTAAGCGCGGCTATTAGAGCAAATTGAATAATATCGAGCTGATATTTTATGCACTTGTTTGTGACTTTGAAGTGCGCTCAACACTTTTACCCATTTCGCAATTCGATTCTGTTCCAGCTGGCTTTATTTTCGCCCGCCATCTCGCTTTTATCAGCACACGCACAGACCTTGACTCCCCGAAAGTCGCCTAAATCTTGCGATATATTTTACATCATTATGGCTCCTCTGCCTTCTTGTTAATGTTTTGTAGCTGCTCTCGCGATTTTATGACTTAGGCAGGCATTTCCACCCATTCCACGGGCTCTGAAGTCCCGAAGCCTCGACAAAAGCTATTGGAACAGATTTCGCTGACTTTGCTCACTTTCCCCAGCCCCAAGCCCCCAGCCCCCAGGCTCTTTTCTCTTTTCTTTTCTTTTCTTTTTTTTAGCTTCCCACCACTCAATGAAATTTATTTTTCGATATGTTATTCCTGCCGCTTCACGTGTGGCGTTTCGGGTTTACCTGAACCTGAACCTGAACCTGAGCCTGAGCTGGTCCGCCCCAGCCTTTTGCTTCCCCCGTCGAATGCGACACTTTTAGCATCATTATCTGCACGGCAGCGAGGGCTCAGGCAGGAGCACTTTGAGTTATGCGCCTGGCAGACGCTCAGAAAACATAAAAAACGAATAAATGGCAGGGCACAGCGAGATGTGGGCATACAGAGATACATTGGCACTGGAGCGGCGAGAAACTGCTGCTGAGATGCGATTAAAATGCCTCATATACATGCAGATTCCCCACGCAATCTCGCAAATAAGGCGTTTTATTGCCGAACTCCAAGTCGAAGATTTAGAAACTCGCAGATCTGCGCTGATTTAAGGCGCATTCTAAGTGAAAGTTTTACAAATTGCTCCACACTGGGTACATTGGTACATTGAAGCTGAAAAGTGTCTATAATTAGACATTCTGGGATGCAGTTTAGAAATTAAAATTAGGATAGGTGGCTAAAATCACGCTTGTTAGTTGGGTCGCAGCTGCTACAGTTTTATTGGAAGTTCGAGCTAGTTCGAGTTAGTTTGTCAGGTGAGTTGGTGTCTCGACCCAATTCAAGGCTGATTATTCCTGTGGGTGTCGTCGACATCGCCCGATGTTCGTGTGTGTCGAGCTGAAAGGATTCTTTGTCGGGGGCAGAAGTCAAATGGCCGCTGTTGGAGCTGCGTTTACGATTGCGGTTAACAATCATATCGTTGAGGGGATTAATTTGCCTAAGTGCAGGCGGCAGCTGCACCGCAACAGCATTTGCACTGAAGGCCGAAGTAGAATCGACACCTACTATGGCTCTCTGGGGTATTTTTGCGGACTGTGGGTCATGGATTCGGATGAAGTAGATGTGCTGCCTGTTGGCACATAAACAGCCATCTATCAATTGGATTGCGGCGATGTGGGGATGTGGGTGTGTGCTTAACACACCATTGAACTGTTACGCAACAGGAAGTCGCACACAGACACAGATAGAGATAGAGATACACAGATACAGAGATACACAGGCACCAATACAGACACATATGTCCGGCGGTTGGGAGACCGGCAGACAAATCCCATTTGATGTTCACTCAGCAGAAAGGCAACGCCAATGAAGCATGCAAAAGGTATTTCAGCTTTTTCGTTGCCTGGCCCAGATTGCTGAGATTTTGGCTTTGTAACTCAAAATCGAGGCGGTACAAGGAGCGAATGTGCAAACATCATGAAAAACGCTGCCGCAACAACAAAAAGGAGGAAAGCCCAGAAAGAAATAGGACTTTTCCCAAGAAACAAAGGCCAACGGCTGAGAAAGATGCCTCCAAGCCGCAGTCGAGGCCAAAGGAAACTGCTCCTTTTGCCCCGTCCTTTCATTGAACTTTAATTCAATTTGCAGCACTTCCAGCCAAATGTGCAGAATAAATTGTCGTGTTTAATGTGTGGAGGTCGGTGCAAATGGTGCATCTCCCAGGAGGCTTTCCAGGGACCACCACTTGTCCATTGGGTCATAAAATGGCTTCCGGTTATACTTCAAGCGAGATTAACTTGTCGTTTACAATTTCCCTTTGATTTGTTTGCAGCGGGTGCGGGGATGTATCCTGCCGGGGGATGAAGTGCGGATCTAACTGGTATACTCGTACATGTACATATTCCCTGGCGTTTCCTTTGCAGCACTTTCGCTTTCATCTCGTGGCACTTCTGCGTGGATATGCAGTCGCCCGAATGCCCTGCATTTGGGGAGGCAGGGTATATTGGTTCTTTTATATATTATAATCATTTTTATTTGTTCCATACTTGATCATAGCCGATTGGGTATGTACGTGCACTTTGCTGATGATATTTACTGCCATACGAACAACCCCTCCCTCTATGTAAACAGTGTTGCTCGACATGATTTGCATTGAAAACTAGTTTTTATCGAAGTTCTTGCACTTCATTGCAAGTCAATAGAGCGATGGTAATAATGGGGCATGGTCGAGAGCCCCGAAAAGTATGCAACGTGCTTGTACCGCGCTTTTAACGGGAAATGCCTGAAAGCAAATCGTAGGCCGGGCAAACAAATTGGCAGGAGTGGGCAGGGCCCACTTCCCCCCACCCAGATTGAAAAATGCCCATGAAATTGCGCAGTGTTGTTGCCCCGCTGGTCGGCTACAAATTGATTTACAACAATTCATTTTCGCCCGGGGCAACCGCTGTGAGAGCCAACCAGATGACCAGAACACTTGCGGGCTCCCAAGTCGCAGGTGTGAGTTTTATTTGTTTGGAAATTGTTTTCCCGCTTTGTTCCGAGTCCTTTTCCCGTTCTCGTGCTCTTTCTGTTCCCATTTTCCCCTCCCCACCCCGTTTTGGCGCGCTGCTTTGTTTTGGCAGGACGAAAAGGAAGCCACACGCAGCTCGACTCTGTTTTCCTTGTGGCCTGGCGGTAATTTCATTTCGTCCTGGCTGTGGCTCCATAGAAGCGCACTCAGCTTTCGCTTTCACCTTTCGGCCAAACACAAAACCAAAACCAAAACCAAATCTGGCCCAGTTCGCGGCTGCTATGCAATTAAGCCACGCAATCAGAATGCAAGATGAAGGCTCCGCAAACAATTGAATTCGGATGCGAGATGCGACAGGCAGTGATGGCGAGGGATCCTTAGGATCCTTACGGCAAGGTGAAACTTCAAGAAAAATAAAAATATATGCTAAAGAGCTGCAGGTAGCCGCAACTAACTAATATAATACTTTACTTTTGATCAGTAATTTTATGCCTGAATCCCACTAAGTGCCCTACTTCCTACGAACAATGCATCTTACTGGCAAACTCAAGATTCGCCTTAATTTCAAACTCAAATTTGAATGAATAACAAGGAGCACCAACCCTGGAAACCACCATCACTGGGATGGAATCCGGATTCGGAAACCAGCAGAGGCAGAAGCGTCGAGTTGCAAGGTGGCCCAAATGCTGGCGAAATAGCGGCCACAAGCTGCAAAGCCAACATGGCAGCTGACATCTGTCAGATGCTGTTACTCCGCTGCACTTTTAGTTGCCCCTGGGCGGCGGTGGGGCATCTGCGCTCCCTATTCCGGCCGCGCTTTGTTTGCCGAGCCCGGCTGCGCACTCACAATGGTGCACCCGGAGCCAAACAGGAGCCGCTAACGAGCAGTTCCATGTGGCGCCGTCGATCGCGGGAATCAAGTCTTTGTGGCAACGGAATGGTGGCGAAGTGGCTTCCTAAATATTTGCACTGCGCCCGCCTCGTTGGCCTCGCACCCAAAGTCCCTTCATGTATTTTCAAAATAAATAATACAAAAGCTATAACTTTGAATTGGAAAGAAACCTGGTGGGTTTCTTCTTGCTCTATGTACAAATGCGAAGTAAGAACTTTAGTCGTCTTTCAGGCGGATTTTCGACTCAAACGCGTGTCGAATGAACTCATTGCAATTTCACGCCCGGGCTTCTAGGTTCCATCTTTCTGTTCTGTGAGTTGATTTACTAAGAATAATTTGATCACTATGAGAACACACTCCCCCGCATTTGGTGAGCAAGAGTAACACTACATATCCAGATCAAGATACTTTACGTAGCAAACTTTAGTTGCGTTGGCACTTCTCTTGCTGGCGCACATCGCTCATCCGATGGAGAGCCTCGATGACTTCGAAGTCCCCGTGGAAGTAACTACACTACATGCTAAGAAGGATATGGCGGGTCCTGTTAATCTGCAGCGCATCGAGGGCAGAACTCGGCTAAAGAGCCTACTTACGTTTGAGGGAGACAACCGGACAGGCAAAATGATTGAGAACTACTGCTGTTTTTGGATATACCAGGCTCATCCGCCCATCCCGCACACCTGGAAGCATATGGCCGAGTATCCCTTCGACTTTCAGTTCAATGGAGAGTTTGTGCGGAACCAGCGACACAATGCAGTTGAAGTACCTGCCGCCGAGGATGGCGATAAAGGCATTTGATGTCAAACAAAAGATAGATACTTGTATATGTTTCACTGAACAATGCAACTCTCCCCTGAAGTGATGTCCATTCAATCTGATAGAGGTGATTATTTTCCTCCAGCTTCGTCGCATATTTATGGTAATTTATATTAAATTGATTTACTGAGCGTCCAGTTTAAGATCGTGTCAGCAAGTATATCCCGCCTTTCAGCCAGCAATTGATTGAGGCACTGTGGCGATGCATTTAATTGGGCCTAAGGCACTCGACAGCTTAACTGAGGCCCAGAAACGTAATTAACTTTGTCTGGCCAGCAAAACCTGACGGGGCCAAAGTTTCTTCAAAACTTGAGAAATTCGTTTGGCGACCCCAAAGAAAATCATGGGAAAGGGCGGCTCTTTTTGTGCCTAAGAGCCTGACAGCACATAATGGATTTGACACATTATAATCAGGTTTGCATAGTGTCCTTCGCCCTGCCGTCAGTCTCTCAGTCGGTCAGCTAGTCAGTCAGTCAGTCAGTCAGCCAGTCAGTCAGTCACCGAGTCAACCGATCCCTCGAGCATCCAGCAACTTGGCCGCTTTGACGTGCTCTGCTTATTTGGGCAGCAAGTTCTTGTAGTTAGCTCAAGTTTTGCACAACAAGAAAATATCAATAAGCAATTTCCTGTGGAATTTTATATATCTCAAAATTACATATTTTAGTTCTTCTTGGCTTGCCAAACAAGAAATTCAATATGAAACTATGTTAAACATAAATATGAAGAAAGTAACACCACTGAGTGTAAGTTATATTTTTCATTCTGGATTTTCGTTTCGGTAATGTTTTTTCGACAAACAGATAAAACAAAAGTAAAGATATACACCCAGTTACTCTATATTTTCTTGATCACTATGAGTAGAAACACACATGGCTTAATTAAATGGGAAAACTCACCTGGTTCTCGCAGTGCAGTAGTTGCCCATCATCGCAGTGCCGAGAAGTTTGATAAATAAGCAAGCCGGGCCCATGTCTGGGCATTTACTTAGTTAATTAAATTCAACTTCTTCGGCCGGGGAAGATGACAGCGGGGGAGTGAGAGCAAGTGAAGCGCTGCAGGGCGAGGAGGAGGAGCAGGTGGCGCCCCCCAAGTTCTCCATCCTTCCTCGCAGAAGTTTGCCCGTCGTATTTGTTCATATCATAGGTAAATATATCCTGGACGGGAGCCTCGATGTTTGCTTTTAATTTCGCCATTTCCCTTGCCTTGCCTTTGCCTTTGCTTTTTAATGTGTCCGGATGATTAGAGCGGCTGCATCCTGACCAGACCCCACCAATCCTGACCAGCTTCGACCACTTGCTACTTGCTACTCAGACGGCGTGGCTCGGCAATTTCCTGCTCCACTGACTAATGGAAATGGTGAACAGATTTGAATTGCCGCACTGGGCGACTGGCACACCACACAAAAGGCGCTTTCCTTTGGTCTCGTCAAGGATCTTATATCCTTATATCCAGCTAGCCAAATAAATGGCTCTGCAGAGTGGGGAAGTGGGTCTTATGCAAGCAAATAATTTGGATTTAAATCGATTTAAGATGGTAACGAATGAGTGTGCACACGCATTGTGATAGTGTTTTATGCAAATGCACTTATGGATTATTTTCGGAGAGAAAACATTCGCAAAGAATACACGCATGTGAATTGAAATTTCCTATTCAAGTGGTATGCTCAAACTTTGGTTGTGGACTTAAATTTAGCCACGAGTACCAAGTACATACCATTATTATTATACTTATTATTATACTTTCATTTAATGTAAATATAACTAAATATTTGTGTTTTTACTGAAATTCAAATTTGAATTTAAACTAAAAAATTTAAGCTAATTTAAATTTTAAGCTAAAAGATCTAAAACAATCGATAACCTAAATGGATCATCAAGTCTGCCATCAAAAGGTGTGTGCCACTGCTACTGCCTAGCGGAGTTTCACACCACTGAACGATCGATCAGCTGCTCAGCACAGCTGATTAAGTTCGGGCGCTTTTCATGCTGAAATCGTTGTGAAATTTTTAGGGATGTCGTGATATTACAAAAATAATATTTAAAATATCATAAAAAATATCAATATATTTGATATTTTCGAAGTTTTTTTTTCAAATAAAATTTTTTTGTTCCCCACAATAAAAATATAAAAGTTTCTTTTTAACTTCATGTTTCTTATTTAACTGGATATTCGATATATAATACAGATAATAATACAGATTGTGTTTATATAAACTAATACAACTTATTTCCAATACTTCGAATACTTAAGTGATTTTAGGAAAAAGCGTTGTGTTATATGTGTGTCAGTCATTCGGCTTCGTGCGTCACAGACTACACATTTTATAGCGGACGCCAACCGCTCTGAAGGCACTGAGCTACCCGGAGTGATCAGGTACCTTATGGTCATTTTAACACGATCACTTTTACCCGGTATCGCTTTGGAAATCAGAGTGACCAAAGGAAAAATATCAAAAAAATATCGCAATATCAACATTTGGGCAAAAACAATATCACGATATAAATATAAAATGTCAAAAAAAAATATTTATATAAAATAATATATAAATCAAATTGATATTTTGATATATTATCACCAACCCTACTACACATACACTACACTCACTGCTCGACCGGTAAGAAAGATTACTTGGAATAATTTGTGACTCTAAATTAGAAGACATGCCTTACTGTCCTTACTAGAACCAGTTGGGAATTATAGGGCTATAGGACACGAAAAATCTTCAATTTGCCATAAATATTTACACTTTGTGGGCAAAATTGAAAGATTTTTCGGTTTGAATTACCAGGCGAACAAGAATTCCAGAAGGTGACCAACGATCGTTTGGTTTTCGGTAGGAACTTGCTGCTGATTATGATCGCCTGGTAATTCAATCCGAAAAATTTACAATTTGCCAAAAAAATTAACATTTTGCAGGCAAAATTGTGAGATTTTTCGGTTTAAATTACCAGGCGAACAGGAATTCCAGAAGGTGACCAACGATCGTTTGGTTTTCGGTAGCAACTTGCTGCTGATTATGACCGCCTGGTAATTCAATCCGAAAAATTTACAATTTGCCAAAAAAATTAACATTTTGCAGGCAAAATTGTGAGATTTTTCGGTTTAAATTATTAGGCGATCATAATTTCAAACACTTGTATAAATAATACTTGCCTGGTTATTTGTTCAAGAGGGATGCCAATGTGATCTTGCAAGTAATCAAGAACGCATACACTACTACACATACACTACATTCACTGTTCGACCGGTAAGAAAGATGACTTGGAATATTTTGTGACTCTAAATTAGAAGACATGCCTTACAGCCCTCACGAGAACCAGTTGGGAATTATAGAGCTATAGGACACGAAAAATCTACAATTTGCCATAAATATTTACACTTTGTGGGCAAAATTTAAAGATTTTTCGGTTTCAATTACCAGGCGAGCAGGAATTGCAGAAGGTGACCAACGATCGTTTGGTTTTCGGTAGCAACCTACTGCTGATTATGATCGCCTGGTAATTCAATCCGAAAAATCTACAATTTACCAAAAAAATTGACATTTTGCAGGCAAAATTGTGAGATTTTTCGGTTTAAATTATTAGGCGATCATAATTTCAAACACTTGTATAAATAATACTTGCCTGGTTATTTGTTCAAGAGGGATGCCAATGTGATCTTGCAAGTAATCAAGAACGCATACACTACTACACATACACTACATTCACTGCTCGACCGGTAAGAAAGATGACTTGGAATATTTTGTGACTCTAAATTAGAAGACATGCCTTACAGCCCTCACGAGAACCAGTTGGGAATTATAGGGCTATGGACACGAAAAATCTACAATTTGCAAAAAAAATATTTACACTTTGTGGGCAAAATTGAAAGATTTTTCGGTTTGAATTACCAGGCGCACAGGAATTCCAGAAGGTGACCAACGATCGTTTGGTTTTCGGTAGCAACCTGATGCTGATTATGACCAAACACACATATGTACATACATACATACATACATACATGCATGCATACATACATACATACATACATACATACATACATACATACATACATACATACATACATACATGCCCATAAAATGTAAATATTTATGGTAAATTGTAGATTTTTCGGTTTGAATTACCAGGCGCACAGGAATTCCAGAAGGTGACCAACGATCGTTTGGTTTTCGGTAGCAACTTGCTGCTGATTATGACCGCCTGGTAATTCAATCCGAAAAATTTACAATTTGCCAAAAAAAATTAACATTTTGCAGGCAAAATTGTGAGATTTTTCGGTTTAAATTACCAGGCGAACAGGAATTCCAGAAGGTGACCAACGATCGTTTGGTTTTCGGTAGCAACTTGCTGCTGATTATGATCGCCTGGTAATTCAATCCGAAAAATCTACAATTTACCAAAAAAATTAACATTTTGCAGGCAAAATTGTGAGATTTTTCGGTTTAAATTATTAGGCGATCATAATTTCAAACACTTGTATAAATAATACTTGCCTGGTTATTTGTTCAAGAGGGATGCCAATGTGATCTTGCAAGTAATCAAGAACGCATACACTACTACACATACACTACATTCACTGCTCGACCGGTAAGAAAGATGACTTGGAATATTTTGTGACTCTAAATTAGAAGACATGCCTTACAGCCCTCACGAGAACCAGTTGGGAATTATAGAGCTATAGGACACGAAAAATCTACAATTTGCCATAAATATTTACACTTTGTGGGCAAAATTTAAAGATTTTTCGGTTTCAATTACCAGGCGAGCAGGAATTGCAGAAGGTGACCAACGATCGTTTGGTTTTCGGTAGCAACCTACTGCTGATTATGATCGCCTGGTAATTCAATCCGAAAAATCTACAATTTACCAAAAAAATTGACATTTTGCAGGCAAAATTGTGAGATTTTTCGGTTTAAATTATTAGGCGATCATAATTTCAAACACTTGTATAAATAATACTTGCCTGGTTATTTGTTCAAGAGGGATGCCAATGTGATCTTGCAAGTAATCAAGAACGCATACACTACTACACATACACTACATTCACTGCTCGACCGGTAAGAAAGATGACTTGGAATATTTTGTGACTCTAAATTAGAAGACATGCCTTACAGCCCTCACGAGAACCAGTTGGGAATTATAGGGCTATGGACACGAAAAATCTACAATTTGCAAAAAAAATATTTACACTTTGTGGGCAAAATTGAAAGATTTTTCGGTTTGAATTACCAGGCGCACAGGAATTCCAGAAGGTGACCAACGATCGTTTGGTATTCGGTAGCAACCTGATGCTGATTATGACCAAACACACATATGTACATACATACATACATACATACATGCATG